TTATTTCCTTCTTTTACTGAAACAGGACCTTCCGGCACTACATTTGAAAATTATGGACGGCGACTAAAAAAAAAAATAGGAAGACTTTTGACTAACAGAGGTTACTGGCAAGATCTGCCACTCAGAAAGCCCAAGTCAAGCTCAGGCACAAGCAAGGAAAAAATGGCGGGTTTTTGAGGGTTGAACGTAGAGCATAGTGACAAGCCAAACTCTTCAGCACCCCTGCGGACACCCCCCAGCAGGCTAACAGGAAGACACTCTCCGCTATTCTTTGAAACATCTGACACCATCAGGCTGGTAATTGAAAGCGTGGCTCTGGATGGCGCGTCTTGGCTTCCGTAATGATTTAACGCCCTTGTCCCGTGGGGTCACAAATTGCAGAAACTGACCGAAAAAGCAGGTTTAGCAGCGGGAAGCCAGTGGAAGAAAGCAGCCCGAAATCACACACGAAACTGCAAGTGCGGAGCCCCTGAGGTGAGCGAGGAGGCGATCTCCGTCCTCTCCTGCTCCGGCCCCCTCTAATTCCGTCCCCAGAATGGATAAACACCTCTAACATCTTCACGCTCGGCATCACAGAGGACTCGGCCTGTAAAGCTCACTGGTCTCATTTGCGGAAAATCAGCGTGTTGTCCGGAAAGGAGAACCCCCCCCCCTCCACCCCCAACGCTCACTCACCCTTGCAGAAAAGAGGAAGTAGTCACCGCTTCTCATAATCCAGCTGGCAGGGTACCTCTTACGTGAAAATACACATGATTTTCTTCATCAGCGTTCTACCACTGGACATCTGGACGATGGTGGCCAATCTGGGCAGCTTGTACAGCTTAAGATATGTCCCTCTCCTAGTCAAAGCTGTCATCTGGATCCCTTTGCTGGGGATAAACTGCACGCTACACTAAAATGCTTAACTGAAAGGAACATATGGTTTAGCATAACGCTGAGGGCTACAGCTCATATTATCTGCTGTACCTAAACATCTGACCAAATATCTCCAGACAGGATGTATGGACCCAGCCAGGTGTTCCGCTGCTCCTTCGTCATTGACAATCCACTTCTCTCTGTCCAGTGTTACAACCCAGGACCTCGAGTGATTTGAAAGTTTACACACGGAATGATTCTCCTGCACTCAGATTCCTCCTCAATGTCTCAAAGGTCCTATGCAAAAAAATACCATCCTGAGAAATCATTGAGTAACTGATCAATTCTAGGATTCAAGAGACATGTCAAAGGAGATGCACCCAGATCTCACATGTTACAAGCTTTCAGGCTGGTGAAAGTGAAGCATAGAAAAAACACATCATTTTGTTTTGTTAGACTTTGGTTACAGCTGTTGTGTTGATGCAGATGCTTTCTGCCTTTGTGTTACACAAAAAGTAAACTACAGAATAGACATCCTTGCTATTAGTTTGCTATTAGTGCCACATGGTGTAGGTAGCTACGAAATGTTATACAAGAGCCTTGGGATTCAGTTTGGCTATGATTAATACCTCTGTGATCATGTTCTCCCAAGGCCTCCACTAGCACAGCTGGCTTCCAGAATGCTAGCCAAGTACAGACATAACCAAGATTAATGATGCTGAGCAGCTCCATGCCGCTACGTGCTACCTTATGCTAATGCTTACAAACGGAAGACAGAAACACAATTGTGGCTCCTGATCCAGAAACGCAGTGCTTTCCAGTGACTAGTGTCACCTCAAGGTGCAGATCTTTGCCTCAATTTGCCAAAAGGACTAGGGTGAAACGGGAAAATCTGGCGAAACGACAGAAAATGTGTTTTCCTTAGCTTTCCCTTTGAGGGACTTCATGTGCACCGTACCTCAGATGCAGCTGAGGTACGGGTTTGGTTACAGGCTTCTGAAACTGAGATCCGCTCACCTGAGTCCTCTTCTTACAAGACTGGATGCTGCTTTCAGGGGTTCTAGGTCTCTGCTGGAACACTGCCTATCAGCAAACTAATGCAAGCATCCAAGTAGGAGGCTACAGAAGACCCCCTTCCCGGCGTGGGTACCGCTGCTCAGAGCCCTGACCACAGCACATCTGGGGCAGGAACTTCAAACACTTTTTACCATTTTTTACCGCTGAGAAACAGAAACGCCTTCCCCTGGATTTCAGCCTTCCCAGTGAATAAGCCGCATTTCATTTCATTCTGCATGAAACAACACTTGATTACGATAGATACTTCAGGCCAGAATAATGAAAAAGCAGCATTAGCTGGTGGTAAAAGATCCTCATTACTGTGACTAAATATTACCATGTTTCTGAGGGATTGAAACTCCTGTTATCTAGCTATTGAGATTTCCGAGTTACCATAATTTACCTGCTGAAAGAAGCAGCTAAAAATAAACTTAGGCTGGTAGCTGACTTTAGCTGGTCTAAAATGGTCTTAGATAGTCATGTCCCAGTGCTTTTGATGATTTAGCTGGGTAGGTCACCAGTTGGTCATGCTGGTGGGGCCTGCCTATCAAGCCGGACCAGCTAAAACAGCTAGTATGACAATCATAAGCTGGTATGACCAGCTAAACTATCAAATCATCATGCAAAAACAAACCTTAAGGTAGTCGACTATCATAAACTGGTCAACTAGCTCAACTAGCTCATTGGTCAACCAGGTCAAGCTGGTTTCTTCAGCAGGGTAGTAATATTTGGCAGACAGTGAGCTAAGACATATAGGGGAATTAGCACAGACCAAGCTACCTTTGCCAGTACTCAAACAGCAGTACAGCAGCGATTTCACATTTACTCACGGTATACAGCACAGATCAAACACACCAGCATGATACCCTCAGAAGCAATGATGCATAGATTCAGATTTTAAACATACATTTTAAAAAATGGACTGAGCTGTGGATCCTGGATAAATAAATAATTTTTTGAGGCATACTGACCCTTATTTGCTTGCTGAACTATCATAGCAGATACACATTAACCCAACATTTCAAAGGTCATGATTCCTTTTTTACATCATGCATAATGCTTTGCTGGCACTAAAACAGCTTCTCCTACTTGCATCAAAAACTATGCAAGTTCTCCTCTTTGAAGATACTCAAAGCACCTTCTGTTGACTTTTCAGGCTACATGTGTCTTCACCCATCCATGCTTCCCAGGTCCATCCCAGGAACAGTGGAACACACTCTGGGACAAAGAAATAACGAGGTCCTTTGTACCACACTTGTATAGCCATAAATGACTGAGAGAATCTTGTTTTCTTTGACAAAAAAAGTTCAGGGTGTGGAGACAAATCAATAGCACACAAATGTATTAGACGCACTTAAATAAGGCGTCATCAAAACATCAAGAGACCACAATTCTCTACAGGAGACATCTGGGGCAACCCAGAGTGGGCCGGAAGGGGAGAGAGGACACGAAATGGACGTCAGGATTTAAGTGACGGGCTGTCCATGGGACACGTGCCTTCTGGGTCACGGGGTACAGAAAAGCATTGACACAGTTCGGGATTTCTTGTTGCCTTGCTCTACATTCGGAGGTTAGCCTCTCCTCCACTGGCGACAATGAAGGGTGTATCATTATCATCTTTTATGGCCCAACAAAAGGTGATCTTTGTGGGGAATAATACAAACCATCAATAGAACAAGTCAGAAAAATAGGACATCTTAAAATATACTTTCTTTCTGCGCGACAAACAAAGGGAGCTTCGTCTGGAGTGACATGTGACTTCAGGCTGTCACACAAACATTTCACTGTCCTTTTTACAGCACGTTCAATTTCCCACTATAGCAACAGGACGAGGGTGGCATCCTTCACCCTCGGAAAGTCATGAGGAATGGAGAAATTGGGAATAAAACCTGCAAAATAATCAACTCATACATTAAATGAAAGTAACTGTTTTCATCAGAGAGTTCACAAGCTAACTGCTAGTGATCAGTAACACTTCTGTGGGTGACACAATGTTTCAAATCATGGAGCTCTAGAAATAACCAGTGCACAACTCACAAAAACCTTATAAAATAAGTCTTAATGATCCTCAGTGCCGCCTGAAGCATGACCTTAAAAATCCCCCCACACATATTTTCCCTTTAAGCAATCTCACATTCCCTGCATTTCATCCTTTGTTTAGTCTATGTTGTCAGACCAGTTGTACAATAAAATGTTCATTCCTGCACAGGAAACAATGCCCAAAATACTCTTTAAAGAAACTTTCCCCTTTGGAAGCTCAATACAGCAATTATAACACTTATAAGACAGGAGCAACAGAGAGTCGTACAAACTAACAATGAGGCAACTCACACAGACAGTTAGATTTAGGTATTTTTAAGTGGTCTACCATCTGGATGGTAATCATTACATATAAAGTGCATCTTATGTCTTTAGCGATGACAACTACAAACATTACCGCTGAATATATTCAGTTATTATGCAACAGGTAAATGATTAAAAGTGTATCAGCAATCTATCGGAGTTGGAGCTCCACAGCAATGTGACCCAAAGCACTGAGCAGTCAGTGTCTTGCCGATGACTTTCTGTGTATAATTCGCTCAGCAGTTGATTGACAAGCTCTCTCTTAGTACTGAAAGTACCAATAGGAGGCATAGTTACTGTTTTTAATGAGGTAAAGCAGGGACAAGCCGTGTCCATAAACAATGAGGTTATTATAGCTACTGCTCATGTCACTGGCCGCAACTTTGCACAAAAATGAAATATGACCAAACGAAAATATAAAAAGATGGAAAACAGCAGCTTTTGGTTTATAAATCCTTGCAGTCTCATGTCTCGTTTCGACTCCTACAAAGAAAAAGGTTGTGCTTAGTGATTAGTGGTCGTCTTTGCGTATTTTGTGAGAAACAAGCAGCACATTCCCTGTATCTGGAAAGAAGAAGCAGTGAGGTGAAGGGCTGCTTTATCCTTGTGGTCCAGCCAGTCGGCCATGGAGAAGAGCCCTGTAAAGCCCTTTGCAGAAAAGGCCAGGCGGGAGAGAGTTCACACATGGGGGGGGGGGCATGGAGAGGGTAGGGGAAGGGGAGGGCTGAGCGGGGGTCACCTCCTACCTGTTTGGCTGAGCTGAGACGCGCTGCGGCTCTTCCTCGTAAGGCCCACTATAGCCACCATTTTGGCACCCATGCTGGCGCGCCGCACCTTCTCCTCGGTGCCTACCGTGCCCACGCCCGTGTCCGACTGGCTGCCGTCCTGCTTCTCCAGGTCACACATCTCCCCGCTGATGCTGCTGCTCTTGGTCATGCTTGGCTCGGATGAGTCCTGCCTGCGTTTCGTTTTGGGTGCAAAGCCACTGTCAGCGACGGCGGCGGCCCAGGAGATACAGTAGGTGCAGAAGGAGGAGGACAGAAAGGGGACAGGGGAAGAAGAGGAGAAAATTCAAGGACAGAAGTCAGGAACAGGAGTGCAGAGAGGCCAAGGGTCCAGCTTCTGCAGGTCTGGGTCTTCAGATATGGATCTCCTGGTTTGGATCTAAGGTCTGTACCTATATATTTAGATCTGAAAGACTGGAGCTAAAGTTTTAGATCTGCAGGCCTGGATTAGCAGGCTTTAATCTATGAATCTATATCTGCAACGCTAGATCTCTAGGTCTGGATCTGGGGGCAAACTGGATCTATGGGTTTGTATCTAAGGATCTAGATCAAGATTCATGTGATTCAATGCGATCTATGCACACTTTCCAGTCTGAAAATGCTACTCCCTGTCTACTCTAACCACAATGTCAAAAAAGTGTGGAGCATTTAATGTAAATAAACATGCAGAAATACTGCACACTGGCGCTTTCCAGTGCATTCTCCTGCTTAGTGTCTGCAACGCTCCACATACAGTGCTAAACTGATGCATGCTATTAAGAAATGGCATCATCCTGCATTACGGGAGCTGTCCTGTTTACCCAGATGGTAAACAACAATGTCTGACACATGAGGCTTTTTCTGCAAGATTAAGTGCATCACATTAAAAATAATAAGAGCTAGGCTCCTTATGGATGGATATATTCATCAGAACCTTGCTTTTATTTCACCAGTATTTCAACACAACGCTTAACCCAAAGGGTTTTGTTTATTTAAGACAATTACAATCACAAAATAACTTCTTATATGGTAAAAGCAGAAAGATAACGAGCTTTGAAATTTCAGCTAAAAATGACTCCAGAGATGGGCAGTTCAGGTTCAGAAACTAAAACTCCAGATCAAGATTTTGTTTCAACCAACCAGATAAGTATGTGACTGGTTGTTTGAAACAAAATCATGGTCTGGATTTTAACCTTTTGTACCTGAACTATCCGTCTCTGAGTTAATCTAATGTGATTAAATTGTGTTTTTAAGCCTTTCGGCTCCTTTCATAGTTCAGTGCTTTATCTTAGTACATATACACAGTATGTATAGAACAGGAATCAGATACAAGCTTGCATGCTCAAACTAGAACCACCATGGACAGGATCCACGGATGGGACTCAGTGTGGCGCCAGCCCCCATTACGAGCCATGATGCATCAGTCTGGAGTACCAGGTGACGCAGTTCCCGGACAACACGCCGTTACTGGAGTGACAGGATCAGCTGGAGATGACCACACCATCATCTAAACGATTACAGGGTTTAAGCTGCAATGACAGAGCATGTTCGCCGCATTCCGGGAAGCAATTATGCACGGAAATACAAGATGGAGACCGTTTCTCTGCATGGTCTGACCTCCGGCTGGGATGAGACTAATCTAATGCAATTATGGATAATTCAACAATATACACCCAACAAAACCTTCAGTGCACCACAGTGAGAGTTTGCCGAACCTTTCCTGAACCCTCTCCGGTCTCACCATCAGTACTTGAAGGCAATTATCAAAATGGATGAAAATGATGAACAAGATCTAACAGAATAAAGACCCATAAGGTCACATGACCATGCTGTCCCTATGCAGTCTGTGAGCTGCTCACGGCACTGCATAGTGAAGTAAGAGCATGGAGCTCTGAGAGGAACCGCAATATGCCATCTCCCTGGGAACAGATCTCCAATGATTGCCCTCAAAAACAATAGTTTATTTATCAGCACATCTAAGAACGACAGGATACCTGAAGTCGACATCTCTTTGTTGCTTGGAGCCACCAGTATTCTTTTATGGAGGTGTGCGTGTACGTACTGTATGCGTGCTGTCCCGCAGTACATCAGGCTAAATGGCTGCATTTAGCAGGTGTTAGGCGTTGAAAGGTCTGTGTATGGATACCATTCTGCTTGAGGGACTCGAGGTTGCCTAGAGGACACCCAAGGATGGCTGATCTTCCATGTGTATGTGAAAAACAAAGCTGGGTTATGAGTCTGAAAAGTGCCAATTTTACTTTATTCAGAACCGCACGTCACCTCTGCCTTCTACACACTAAGAGCTTGTCGTCTGTTTGGAATTATCCTATAGATTACAGGGTTATTAATGAAATAACTGTGTGCAATTAATGTATATCCAAAAGTCCAACATCTTGGAACGCCATTGGCAGGCCAAAAACACCTTCACAGGACATTACTTATACATTTTTCATCTGGATTGGATCCTATTTGCGTAATTATCTGGACATTAACAACAAGACCTATTCTGAAACCTGAACTGCTGTTATGGTCAGTTCTTAATCCACGTATGTATGTATGTATGTATGTATGTATGTATGTATGTATGTATGTATCTATCCATCTGTCAGTCCATCTGCTTCACTACCTACTATCACATCTGAGTGAGTGTAGCTTCGTTGCTATATGTGTAGGTAATACAATGAAATGACATCACTCCCAATACAGGACACCGCTCATCCCCAGCATGAAACATGATCTCCCTTCCTTACAATATCTGATGACCCAATGTGAGATTTGCTTCATTAGCAATAGACGGGAAGGCCTTGACTCCTCCCCATTCCCTGGTAAATCCAAGCCCTCTTCCCGCCTCACACTCAGCGTTCCCGGCCTTCTAAGACCTGTGCGGAACAGAGCACTTCCTCTGTGCTGTGTAATTTGTTCCATTAGTTGTATACTATGGATGCTGCTCCTTAGAGAAGAAAAAAAAACACCACTATCTCAGATTCGCATACAGGTCATTATAAGGACACTGGTGGTCCACACAAATCACAAATTAAGACCACCGACATCTACGCTTAATCAATGCACGTCACCCATCCACACTTAATCAATGCCCTTCATACTCAGGTGTAATGCGGTTCGATAATCTGGTACCACTATTATAATGCAATAGTAAAGATTTGAAACCAAGAGATTCTATCATTTTGCAGATTTCGATATTTGATGAAATATCTCTATTGCACACATTAAAAAGCACTTAAAAATTAAAAAGCAAGAAGTCGTTTAGCATAGTGGACGTGTCGAATGTGCGCTTTGGGGAGAGACACAGTCGCACTCGTTTCATGAGTCTCTTGCGTGGAGGAGCTACAGAGATGGAGCACGGAAATGACTGCGGCCCTCAGCCTGCCTCTGGCCGATAAGCAGGGCAGCTGAAGTGAGACGCGGCATTTCGTCGGTTTTAAACCGAACGATGAAGGTGAACCTGCAGAGTCGACAGCCCCAGTAAGCAAACGCTGCTACAAGGGGAAACAAGTCTAACCTGGTGAAGCATCTGTCTCTCACTCAGCCTGATTTATATGAGGAGTTTAAAGATCGTCAGATGTGCAAGATTACGGTATAAGAGATGATAGAGATGTAACTTAGTGATTGTTACATTTAATGTTTTTGTTTAAAGTCATGTTTAGCTGACATGCGAGTTCTTTCATATCCTTTTCCCCAGTTTAGGCTAGGTTAAATGACGAACACAGCAAAGAAAAATGGTTAATTCCCATGAAATAAATGTTTCAGTGACATACAGTATTTTTTCTATAGAATAACTGACATAACCTTAACTTTTTAGGTATATTAAAATGATTGTTGTTTTGATTTAATGATTTTTTAAAAATCATTTTCCCCAGATAAGTCACTAAAAATCTCATTACTATAATAGTTTTAACATCAAATAACACATAACTAGATAAAACATTTCTAAATCTTTCAACATTATCGCATGTGAGACAATATACAATCACTTTGTATAACAAGATGTATATTGTTCCTAGTTTTGTCATTTTTCTGCATCTCTGCAACTCTTGGCCAGGATTTGATGAAATATTTCTGTATATTTGCTATGAATTCATAAGAATGCCTGAGATATAAACCTAACATAATAATAATAGATACTTTATTAATCCCTGTGGGGAAATTGTCTTTATGCCTCCCTCAGCTTGCTCTTTGTAGAGTAAGTTGTCCGTGAAGGGCAGCCACCCATAGTGACGCCCAGGGAGCTGGGGGTTAAGGGCCTTGCTCAAGGACCAGCAGATGTGCTGAAGCTGGGTTTAAACCAGCAACCTTCTGATTACAGGCACACAGGATTAGCCCACTGAGCCACGCACTGCCCCCTAATTATTATCATTAATAATGATTAATTAACAATTAATATAAGAATGTCTGAGATATAAACCTAACATTAGTGTATTATCGATAATTCTTTGTAGCACTGAGGCCATATTTCACTGATAATGTTAAACTTATTTTATAGGTTATTGCAGTTCAATTTTAAATAAGCATGATTATTTCAAAGCAATATAACATTTAAATAGAAATGTTTTACAGAATTGTTATTGATTATGAGGTACCAAAGCTGGAATCGGTGTCAATGTCAAACTTCTGTTATTGATCCAACTCTAATCAGATGCTAACGAAAACAGTGAGGATGAGGTCTGTGCCGTTCCTTATTCATAGCTGTTTCTAATCTCCTGACCTTTGACCTGCAATGTCACCTGGGGACCCACGACCACTTTGAGACCAGGACACCAAGAGTGGCTTAAAGAGTGCTGACTGTGGGCGACCACACGCACCAAAGAGCGCCACGTGAAATCAGCGCGGGTCAGCTGACCGACGGCATCCTGGGGAGTGGATGACATCGTGTCAGCAGGTCTTCGCATTCTGCAGCTGCAGCCATTGCTGCGTCTTTACAGCACACCCCACAGTTGCGTTTTGGCTGCATCACTCCAAGGCCCTGGCCATCAAACTCATTTCAGTTAACGGGCCACACAATCTCATGCTGACCGGACCAAACAAACGTACAGGTAGCAGGTTAATAGCTCATTAACAAACCATCTCACATTCCTTTTTCGTTATTTATGTATGAAGGACGACAGTAAGGTGTATTCTGAATGCAGAGGCATAACACTGATCATAAATCAAATAAAAATAATGATCAGACTGCAGTGCCTTATGAAAAATGTTCATTTTCAGA